GAATTTACGTATTCTCGGCAACCTAAGCAGCGACCTTCTTTCTATAGCCTTTTTCTCTAAGGAACGCACACATATGCAGTATTGGTTTGTTTACAATCTTTTGCTGCCAGCTGCTCTAACAATTTCAGTCGAAAGAATTGTCAAAAACTGTTTTGAAACGCTTTTACAAAGCTCCAATCTTCTCTAGTGAGAGCGAGTATTGTCGGCAACCAGTTTTTCTTGGGCAACCGTTCCATTTGAACTGCATGTAAATCTGCTGTTCTATTATCGGCAACTCGAAATCAGGTACAATTTTTAGTGTTTCATTTCAAGAAAACCTTGCTAGATTGCTTTTGCTCAGTGGTAAAAATATAGTCAAATTGAAGCTGAAAGCATAAAGAATCGTTTACATGCATTCAGCGAAGTGTTTTCGTAAGAAAATCCAGTGAAAATAGTATTTCAATTTGGGTTGCCGAAAATAGTCTGGCATGCCGAAGCCGTCATTTCCTCTATGTCACCTATGTCACACACGATGATATGATTGACATCCCCTTTTTTCAAGCTATGCAATCCAGTCTGCATTCAAATTTTATTTCTGATGTTAATTCTTCAGCAGAATTTCTCTCACTATTCTCGGCATCAGCTCAAAAAAGATCCGGAGAGCTGGACGGGTCCGAGAGAAGTCATCCTAAACAGCTTCCAGTGGATCATTCGGGTCGATGATTCGGATCCGGAGCTGAGCTGATAAGCTGGAGAGCTGCATTTCGCTTTTCGGTTTTTTGCTTTTGTGCGGATCTTCCGCTCCCCCAGAGAATGATGGGAAGAGAGGGGAGAGCGGTGACTGTTCAATGCGTAAGTGCAGTAATGAGTCCTTTTTTGAAAAGTTCCGCTATGAGTGATGGATTGAATGGTTTAGACTTGTGATATCAGTGAGCTGATGAGCTGTGGTTCCTAAAAAAAAAATGAACCGCGGGTCTTCAGCTCACTTTAGAGAATCGGGTCTATAGAATAGCTCGGGAGCGGATCGCCCATCCCTAGTTTGTACCAAACGGTAAATGACGAGGCAACGAAAGAGCCAACAAAAACATTCAGTCACTCACAGGCAGGCGACTCACACCACTTGCCTTCGCTCACACAGCATGTAATTGAGGTATTTTTCCATAGACCATGTACGCTCAGTCATTCAAAACAAGGATTGGGTACCATCACGGAATAATAAACGTGTTGACTGCGCTACTGACTGAGTGCTCGGCTGTCAGTGACTCGTTTACTTCTCAATTATTCAGACTCTCACAGGGACAAATGGCAGTTCATATTCATATGAAAATGACTCATTGAACCTGAATGTTTTGCGCGCTGGAATTAATACAAAACTCTGGGAGTTCTGACCAGGATTTCAAGATAATTATGCGATAATGTCCTTAGGACATCTGAGATGAATTCTAAGAAAATTCTAGGGAGAAGAAAGGAAGATATCACGAGGCATAGTGGCAAAATGGGAAGAAGGGAATGGACATGAGATTGAACCCCCGACTGGGCTACCGAGCCTCGTCTCCGCTGTTGGTGGCAGCGTTGCCAGATTGTTTTAAAGTTTATCGGTATCAAAGGATTTAAAAAATCGGTATTTATCGGTATTTACTGTTTTAATTTATTTTATATTTAAGCTGGGTTTTAAAGCTAAAATTTTAACTTTTGGACTATGATCAGAAAATTCTGAAAGAAAACTCCGGGGAGTGTTTGAATTAGCTTCTGAAGGGACCATCCAGAGAAAGAAGGAAAAAGCTCTTCTGGTCGAAATTTGTGGAAAGTTCTAAGAAAAGTCGGAGAAACATTTGGGAACTACCAAGACAAGAATTGAGAAACTTCTACACTGATAAAATTGATTCCATTAAAATTCCACATGATTTTCATGTGTCCACGCATTAACAGAATTCACTCAGAAATACGCATGAAATATATGAGACAAATGAACAGTATGTGTGGTTACACATGAATTGTATGTGTATACATAAGAACACATAAGAATATTCAAAGAAACCATCGAAAAAAAAAATAGGATGTTACATCCAAAGGAAGCCAGAAAAGTTTCGGAAAATAGAAGTAAATTTCAGAAGTAGCCAGTTCTAGGGGAAGCCAGAAGAAGTTCGGAAAACCCTTCCAATAAAAGTCAAAAATCTATGGCTTATGGACAACCTTCCAGAAGAAGACGGAAGAAACTTCCTGAAGACGCTGGCAGACACTGTCGAAAGAAACAATGACATAATTCCGGAAGAAAGAGATTTCTGGGGGATGTTCTAATGATCCAGCAAATTTTCCTGATATTCATAAAGCATCCCTGAAGACCCCACAATGCTCCTGAAGTTCTCGGAACATTCCTGAAATGCACTTAGGAATATTCCATAGTTCCACGGAATTTCTTAAAAGCTCTTGTAATTTTCATGAAGTTAATGGGGCTGTTTAGAGTTCTCTGATCATCATCCAAACACTCGGAACTTCCCTGATTATAATGAGGCTACCTGAGTATCTATAACCATCTTTGAAGGTATCTGGACTTTCTTGAAGATTACGAAATGCCTTAGGTGCTCTCACAATTTTCTTGAATTTATTGTATCATTATCTCTGATCTTCTCGATTTTTTAAATTTTAATTCTTGGCACTGTCAATAAAAAGCACGGAATTTCCCATAAAATGTTCTCACAATGTTCTACTGTTCATGTAACTTCCCTTACGTTTCCTAAATTTGTGGAAAATTGCCTCAGTTTCTCGGAAATCCTTTAAAATATCAGCATTTCCTTGAAATGAATTGATCTGTCCTGATGTTCACGTAGCTTCCCTAAAGTTCTCTCAATTCTCCGAAACAAATTTAAGTTTCTTGAAAACCATTAAATTTCCCTGAAGTTTGAACTAGTGAAGTTTCCAAAATATTTCTGATGTTTTCGTAAGTTCACTGGAGTTCGCTGGACTTTCCTGAAATTTTTGGGTTTTGAAATTTGAACAGAAGTTAATGGAACTATCTTTAATTTATCGGAACTTACTCAAAAGTCTAAACTGTTCTGAAGTTTCAGAACTTCTTAAAAGTTCCTGCAGCTAGTGTGAATCCGCAATAAACATCTGGAAACATCCCTGAAGTTCAGGGGAGGTTCAAAAAACTGGTGGGAAGCGATGGCTGAAGAAGCTTCCAAGGGAAGTTGAAATAAGTTTTCAGGAGGAATCGAAAATAAGGTTTTGATGTGTGGAAGAAAATTCAGGAAGTAAAGAATGAACAAAAACTTTAGGAAGCTAAATAATGTTTAAAAAGTATTTCGCGATTCTCTAAGAATGACCAGAAAGAGCCATCGACAGTTTCTCGATTCATGGGTAGTCAAAAACGGTGAAGAAATGGAAACATTAGTCAAAATAGTATCAAGCATATGACATTTTCAAAGTTATTTTTTTTTTTTTGAATAATTTTGAGGGCTCCAAAATTTTAGGTTATTCTAAAAGATACAAATCTCTCACAGTAATTTTCTCTGAAATTCAAGCACGGGTAGGCAATCATAATTTTGATCATTTAAAAAATCGGTATTCTGAGGAATCTTATCTGTATATCGGTATCCAGTTCGGAAATCGGTATAAATACCGATAAATCGGTATATCTAGCAACGCTGGTTTGTGGTTCTCTAGTTCTGAGCTACAATAAAACACGGGCAGGATAATAAACCTGAGTAGTTACTCCCAGGACTTATCAGACTAAGGTTGAACTTTTGTCCCACGATGAGGAAAATTAATACAATACTTATTTCCAACTCAGAGAGGACCAGCAAGATTAGCCATCAGAACTACTTAGGACCTGCAAGTCGATTTGTGTATTTTCAGCTTCTGTCAACCGTACGATCAATATTAATCAAACGAAAAATACATCTTATAACCAAACGAAAGAACTGAGTCAGTGCAAAACTAAAAATTAAATTAATTCGTATCTTAGAAAACCTTAAGACACAGCTTTTTGAAAATTTAAACAAAGACAGCAAACATAACAAGAATCCGGTGTATAGATTAACTACAAAGTTATTCATCCGATTGGAAAATGGGAGAAACATCTATGGTTGGGAATGCCGTAGGTGTATGCATGTGTGTTTGAAAGGAACCAAATTGAAGCGGAATTTCCGATTAAATCCTTTGATGTTACAACCAATAGCGCATGATTTTGCGTTCACACGGCGATGGTAATGAGTTGATAATTCCAGTTTGAAAAATCTTCGCGGAAAAAAAAACTAGCATTCACCCGCCAGAAATGATCAATCGGAGACACACACGCACACACGCACGCACATACATACGAAAAAAGCCAACATTTACACACCTACAATGACATCAAGCCCATATGAAAGATGTGTGTGTAGGAGAGGGAGAAGGGGGTGCTCGGTGGGATCCCAATGAATAGTGAGCTGTTGGTGATCCAATTGGTGGACTGTTTTTGTTTGTTTCAGAGTGCAAGCGAGATTGAAAATATTTCCGTTCTCCTATTCATGGCTCCCTCGTTGGATAAGACAAAAGAAAAATATGATAGAAAAGCAAGCTTTGAAAAAAAAGTGTAGGAAATTACTAACACAAAGTAGTCCAAATCAAGGAGCGAAAAAAGAGGTGATGCTGATTTTTTATCAAATAATAAAAAAATAAATAATGGTGGAAAGGGAGAACATATTCACAAAGTCATGTACATGTTAAGGTGTAGAGTAGAGTTGAGGTATTAAAATACTAGCAATAAAGTCAAAATCATATCCGGAAAGCAAACTGAAACCAAATTAAACGAATGATGAATGAAATGAAAAACGGGTAATTTTGTTAATGCCAACTTTGAATGACAGAACAATGAACACTTTGAATATTTACGTTTAAACCAAAACATGATAACAGAACGAAAGAAAAAAAATGAAACATAAAAAACTGATAAATCAAAAACAAAACAAAAAAACGACTTAGGTTAAAGGACAAGACAGTAGGAATCGAGTAGCAGACAAGCGCGACATTAATTTGCCTACCTTGCCATGCTACAAAGTCTCCAGCTTCACCTGAACAGAGAACAAAGAACAGAAAAGAGAATATATTGATTGGTTTTCGTTAATCAAGTGGAAAACTCTTGCTCAGTTTTTCGATAAACATTTGTGGTAACATTGGATTTGTTTCTTTAGGATATTTTTTATTTTATCGTTAAAAAGTGATTTTGTGACGCGCGAGCAGGGAGCTGTGTATCAATTTCACATTGCGGGAATGGGTGTGAGAGAAATAATAACAAACAAAAAATAATACAAAAGAAAATACGAATCGGGAGCATGACAAATTTGTTCTCCACCGGAAGGTGGATTGATCGGGGAAATATTCACGAAAAAGTACGAGAAAATGACACTTTTTCTCCAGAAATGTGTGTTTGTGTAGTACGGAAACGATACTAGAGAGATGAAATTAGGAATAAAGCAATCAACTGAGCGTGGTAGTAAGACTAACTAAAGGAAACTTTCGTTAATAGGTGGAACTCAAGTTGTTATGAAAACTACTCAGAGATGGTGTATCAATGGAAGAATTGCCTAAGAGTGAGATTTATATGCAAATTAGGTGTGATTAATCAAGGAAACTCAAACAAACTGAAACACTAACTGAAAATAAATCAAACTTTAAGGCAGGAGAACTGAAACGGTCAAAACATAACCTCTCATTGGAAAGAAAGCACTCGGGGTTTGAAACTGCAGAAAAGAAGTGGACGATTAATCTAAACTACGCCGCGAGGTTATTTTATCCCACAAAATGGAGCAGTGGTGGGGCAGCGGGTGGGGTCAGTGTTTTAGCAAATTACAAAAGTGGATCTCAATGTTGAAAAATCAAAGAGTAAAAACGCAAAAACCAGAAAAACGATCTAGTAGTACTCGCTACAAAAGGCATATTATGATTTCGTATCATTCAATCGTCGAACTAGTTGTGAACGGGGGTGGAGATAGGGGGGTCAGGAGTTACCGGACCTCTCATGAACACTCACCTTGCCGCGTGGGATCCATACTATTTGGCATCATTGGTTGTCCAGGGGGCTAAAACAAGAGCAATACATTTCAGTCAATCAATCAAGTTGTGAACCGTAGGACAAGGGGAAGGCCTTTCACTTACACCATTGAAATCGTTTCCAATTCCTTGCGGCATTCGGACTCCGGGCCGGGGACCCGTTGGATATCGGGGACCTCCCATGAATGGCTGCAAGAAAAGAATGGGTGGGAGGAAGATTGTTAGAATCAATTCTGGTCGAAGGCAAATTGGCATAGCAATTAGTGTGTTAGTGTGAGTGTATGAGTAAATATGTGATTGATGTGATGATAAATTAAACTGATGGCGAAAACGGTTCGGTGGAAGGTGGCTGAAAGTGGTTTAATTAGCCAAATGGAATTGCAATTGAAAGCTGTGAAATGTTACAACAATGCATTACAATGCTAGCCTGCAGATGCATACTCAATTATTAAAATAGATTGCCGCTACGGAATAATGAAATTCAATCATTCTTTGATGTAATTATAAAAGGGTACAATGGATGGCACAAATTTGGATCAATGAATTGAGAAATGCTTGAAAAATATTGAACTTTATTGGCTTTGTACTGCTCAAGTAATCTAGAATTATGAACTTGAGTGCACTTCTCATCACTAATTACATAAGGCATAGTCGTGATATTCAAAAACCTTCACTACGTGAAACAAGTGAATGAAAATCAATTATCGGATGCGTTGAACTTTATGTTCAGTCATTTAATGATTGTCAGCATTTGTTATGGTAGGTTGCAGCAGTGTTGGGAAAATATTAAAAATCAAACAAGCAAGCATCTGAGGACGATGTTACACACCGTAACAAATCTCAACAGCTACAACTCTAACCAAACCGTGGTAAAGTTTCATGATTTTTGCTTTACATCCGACCGCAACCTGAAACTACCATCGCTGCTGGTAGCAGTTGCTTCGTGTCTGCCATCGGTGAAGAGTAAAAAGATATATCAAAATATACTTCTCTTTCTAAGAACGTTTACAACAGCAACATTGTTGTGTAGGGTAAACTCTCCCCTTGATTTTTGCACATTGTGAACAGTCTCGCAATATCAAAAGTATGATATTTTGTTTCAATATCACGAGTGCTATTTAGAGCATATGAGAGCGGAATAATATCATTTGATTGATGATTTTGCCAACACTGCACACTGGGGACAAAATCGAAACAATGTGTTAAAATTCAATAACTTCGGTGCTCGCTGGAACAAGAGACTAAAAAATAGTCATTCTAATAGAAAAAAAAGTCTCAGAAATCGATTGGAGTGGGTTTCATCTTGGGCACGATAGGGTAAGTTGGGGTTCTTCACAGTTTTGCCCTAAAATCTCCGATTTTGCATGATTTGAATGCTGTATGTCAAGATACCGATGATATAGACGGATGATTTCTTCTGCAAAGTTGATCAGGAGGTCAAGGACTGTTGGATGATGGACAGAATAATTCGAAATTCTTCCGCTAGGCAGCGCTAGTGAGCATTCGAAGTGAATATGTCTGCGCTGTTGTATCTCAAGATCCTGACTATTTAGACGGGTGATTTCTTCCGCAAAGTTGATCAGGAGGTCAAGGACTGTTCGATGATGGAAAAAACAATTCATAATTCCTCCGCTAGATGGCGCTAGTGATTATTGAAAGTGAATATATTTGTGCTGCTGTATCTCAAGATCCTGACAATTTAGACGGATGATTTCTTCGGCAATGTTGATCAGGGGGTCAACCTTTGCAAAAAAAAACTGCTCAAACATGGACTTTGTAAGCGAGTTGGTCTCTTTAGAGCGTATTCAGCAGAACGAATCTGACTGGGGACTCGGGTTCCGCCAAATATCCTCTCCTCTTTCGGATACTAACAACAGGCTCATAAAATGCTCGGAGAGAAGAGAATCATCCTCTTTTAAAAAGCCAATCTGGTTGTAGTGCGTAAAACCTGTAGCAGAGTCCGGACCAGCCGTGGCATGCAATTTACAAGTCAACACTTTCTGGTTTAACTTTGAAATCCTGTCTGCTACATCATCCAGTTGTAGAATCCGTGTCAAATAGCATATAACCATACCACGGATTGAAACGCTTGATGATAAGTATCCTTTTTCTCGGTTTGGAGTTGAGAACGGTGGAATTATGGCGTTTTTAAATTCAGCTACTTTGTTCCACGGCTGCAAAATTGCAATACCTAAATGGGACAATATGAAGGGACTAATAACAATGCACATCTCTAATATTGATCAAAGATTTAGAAACTTGACCTATTTTAAACATAAAATTGTTCTATCAAGTTTTTTTTTATATATACGTTAGTTAAACTGCCATACCTAGATGCTTCTTAGTGAATCGAGCCAGCTCTCCATACTTGGTTTTACTTAACCCAAGTTCTGATTTTATCGCCAAAGATGACTCCTCCGAACACAGAGATGTTCCACGAATAGAGTTAACGGATTCGATGGTCTCTTTTGCCCAAACCTCACCGCCGCTCAACAAGTGCTGTAAGATTTGAGCAGTTGCTGGATTTGCAGCCTTTATGGCCGCAATTTTGGCTGAATACTGCAAGTTATCAAGACCTTGTTCTTTGAAAAGTCCGATACTGCGTCTGTATTTCGAAAATCTTGTCAACTGGCTAAACTCCTTGCGCTTTCGACCTCGAGGCTTTAGGGTTGACGGTCTTCGCTGACTGTTGGAACTGGTATCCAAATCCGGAGTGGCAAAAGGAGGTGAAAAGGAGATGATTGTGACGAGGGATCTTTGGGTTTCCTTGAATGGACCCGCGTATTTTTCGAAAGCCTGGATCCTGAGGGTTGGTCTTCGACCTGATAAAATAACTGATGATGAATTATATTCAAGCATTTTTTTCGTAAAATTTAGAGTCGGTAGTTTTTGTTTAGGATTTTTATAAAATATTCATACAAATATCAAAGACAAATCTTCTTCTAATCGCGGTTGATGCTATTGATTATTTAGTAACACGAACAAAAACAGATTTCATCAGTAGTATGTCTTGCTTTACATTAACGCATTTCCACGCTTTTACTAATTTTCATTCAAGTTCAATTTAAATTGGTGTGGAATCCGTTGTTTTTTGAAAATTTAGCACTTCGCTCAACAGGTACATTTTTTTCCGAGCTGTGAGTTTTTTTAATGCTCGACGGTATCGTATTAAACGTTTCTTCGTTAATTTATGCTGCTTTCTAAAATTAAGCACGCCCAGGTATTTTTACCTCGAATATGCTTTCAAGCCACTCTGCATTCTTCTTAAAGAACCGATCATTCTTCTTAAAGAACCGAAGTGACGTAACCATACATTTTCAGAGAAAGAGTAATATGTTTTCACTGTTTCTACGGATAAGTGACGTCCACCATATAAGAATGTTGAAAATTCAAAAGAAGTTTTAAACAGTGAGGTTCATATTTTCCGCTTAATTTTGACATTTTTTAACAGAATGAAATTTTTTTTGGCAATTTTTTATAATTATTGCAAGTTTATGCACCCAGGTCCATGACTATAATGCACACCATTTTCGTTGTAATTGATGGTGTAAGAGATGTTATAGGTTCTCCAAGTTGCTTTGGAGTTCAGATTATTTGATCTACTGGCTCAACCATAAATTACACGATGTCCTCAGCGACAAAACCTACAAAGACATGTTCATAAAGTTTCTGCGGATCGTTTTTGATTTATTTTGATTTATAATCAAGGTTCTCCAAATTGTCTTGAGCTCAGATCAATTGATTTACCTGATCAACCATAACTGATACAAGGTCCTTAGTAACTAAACATCTCCAAACAACATCAATTTAAGGTTTATTAGAAGTTCTAGGTTCTTCAAATTGTTCTAGAGGTCAGATTATTTGATCTACTGGATCAACTAAAATCTGCACGATGATCTCACCAACAAAACTTTCCGAAACACGTTTATACAGTTTCTGCTGTTCGTTTATAGTTGATTTTGAGGTATATAAGATACTCACGGTTCTCCAAATTGTCCTTGAGTTTAGATCAAATTCTCATCCAGGTTCACTGATTCAAAGCCCTTTGTATTAAAACATCTCCAAACAGGGTTAAACATATCATGCACATTATTTACGTTTGAATTTGATATGTTTAAGACGTTCTAGGTTCACCAAATTGTCCTCAAAACTTGTTAATTAGGCTACCATCTCGCATTTTAGTTTGATTACATTCATAGATCAGGGGGCCTCCATAAGCTCGGTCGGTAGAGCCTGCGACTGTAAAGCAAACCATGCTGGAGGTGGCTGGGTTCGAATCCCGGTTGGTCTAGGATTTCAGATTGTAAAATTTCTCGACTTCCCTGAACATAGAACGTAGTTAACTGTATGGAAGATTAGAGATCATCATTACAGTCCCATTAACTTCACAGCAATTGTAGGAACTTTTGAGAAGTTCTGAGGAATGAAAAGAAATTCTGAGCATTTCAGTACAACTGAAACAAACAGCGGGAACATAAGCGAAGTTAATATGCTAAAAATGTGTGCAACTTACTGGAAGCTTTAAGAACCTCAAAGCGGTTCTTTTAGCATCCGAAAATTTTCAGGAACTTTTTTGAAGTTCCTAGAATTTCAGAGAACTTCACAAAGTGTCAAGCGAGCTTGAGAAATATAGAAAACTTGAGGGGTATTGTGCAAGTTTTAAAGAAGTTCTAAGCACCTCAGAATCTAGATCTAGAGATCTTTGGGGAATTTCAGAAGAGCAGTTCTCGTAACTTAAATTGTTTAAAGATCTATAATCGTAAATTTAGAAACAAAAAATAAGAACCCTTAAGATGTTTCGAGAATTTCAGGAAAGTACAAATACCATCAGAGAATTTATGAAAATTTCAGAAATATTCCAGGAACTTCACACAAGTCCAGAGAATTTCAGGGAAATCATCATCAATAGAATTGAGAGCTTTAGGGAAGGTTCGAGAACATCATAACAGATCAGAGAATCAAAGGGCAGTTCAAATAATTTCAAGGAAATTGTAGAAACCGGAAGTTCCGGATAGCTCCGAGAGAATTTCTGTGACGTGATAAAAATTATATGAACATCCGGAAAACGTGCGAGTATTTTAAGGGTGTTATATCATCAGATTTCAAGAACATTAAAAAATGCGAAAATTTATCTAAGTTGATTGGAGAATATCAACGAAGTTCCATTAATTTAAAAAAAAATCAAAAGT